CAGTGTCGCCCATGCACTATCAGAAAACCTTGTGGAACAGAGAGTTTTCTTATCACCAACCCTACACGTAATCTTCGATCTCGATGAACCTGATGATGTAATCTAGATGATATTGTAGTATTGTAGCGCACAATTAAGCGGGAAACTCAGCCTGGGTGAGAACCGATACGTTTGGTAGGAACAAGCGCGTTCCGCCCCCCTGCTACAGAGGATAAGACAAGCAGCTACCATGAACCCGCTTCATAAGTTCAATTGATAAAACATCCGTCGGCACACAATCTACAAGCGTTGATTTCTACGTAGCCGTTGAAGTTGAGGAGATGCTGGCTGTGCTGCGACGAGGTTTATTGTTCCTGTCCATCCTGTCTTTCCGTCATGTGGATATATGTGGAGGTCAGGGCTAGGACAAGGTAGATACTGTAGATGTGCCTACTCGTAAAGGGGGGAACACACAATGATTCTCCCTTAAAAAAAGGAAGACAGACGCCCATTCTTGCTCTTGAAGCGAAACAGATAAAAAGCATGCCTTCGGCCTTAGCTGCTTCTGCTCCTCTACACTACCTTGTGAAAGCCCACCACACGCTTCAAAGTAACACTCCTAAGAAAAAAATGTATGTTCGTGCATTTTTTACTGGTGTAGACTGTCGCCAGAGTAGATAGGGACAAAACACACTCACACACACACACACACACACACACACACAGTTTTGATGAAAATTCGTTTTGAGAATGACGTGCCACCTTCCTGCTCTTCCATTATGTCTCCAACGAGCTCGTGAAACAGCCTTCCGGGCCCGACTGCCATACCTCCCAGAGCTCGCTGTCATCGCTCGCGGTCAACTCGATCTCGTACGACTTAAAAAGTGCATGAATACCACCTATTACATGCAAGGCAGGAACACGCAAGCGATAATCAGCCTTTGGGGTGCATCTCGTCAGGGCTAGCGCGGTCGGTGCCAACGTAGTGATGCTCAAGCACGGTATGATAGATGGATAGCGCTGTGATACAGTCAGGCTTCGTCCACACCGATGATACAACCCTTCAATCGCTGTATACAAATAGAGCGGCCGCGGTTGGAGACCATAGCCACGTTTCAAGGTGAACGCCTTGTTCTCATTGCCGCTTAATAACACATACGACAGATAACGCTTGAGTCGACTCCCCTCGCCTTTTGCTCTCTCTCCCTCACGCCCCCCTCCCCCCCTCCCCCTCTCCCCTGCATGAAGACGTTTGCGCTAACCGCGCTGCCGCAGTGGCGTCGTACGTCAAGCTGTTGCCGAATACCGCCTATAGGGAAACTGCCTGTCCGTCAGGGTATTTTCTCCACGTTGATGGCGGCCGGAACGTTAGCATCGCCCGTGACAGATCCCCTTCGGAGGGAGCAGTGGAGGAGGGGGGGGGGGTGTACTCATAGTCGTGCATGCCGTAGTCATTAGACCATTGACCTCGCATCCCTACAAAGCCGGGACGGAGCACGCCGGGTTCTCACCGGACCAGGCTCTCACATCACCAAGCGCGAAGCACCGTGAGGTATTTGGCGAGTCGCATGAAGGGTGAGCTGCATCCTGCTAAGGGTGTTCGGCATCTTGTGTTTACTTCCTTGCGTACGGATGACAGCTACGTATGACTGAATCTATTTTCTGGTGCTTTCACTTCCAGAGACAGTTGTAAGCACTGTGTAACTGCCTCAAGGGTGCTTGACCAATATTAACACAACGTGGTGCGATCATCCCCCGTTGCGCGGAGTGAGGGTTCTCCACCCCGCACAACATGATCTACTCGACCACCATTATGGTTACCGCCAAAAAAAAAAACGACGTAAAAAAAAAAAACGGTCACCTGGTTGCCGAGTTCACGAAGTGAATTGGCTTGTTTTACAACGTCATTGCCAAGCGACGAAAACCCAATCCCGATGGCAAACACCGAGCGGGGGGCTTGTTTTACAACGTCGTTGCCAAGCGACGAAAACCCAACCCCGATGGTAAACACCGGGGGGTGGGGGTGTGGAGGAGGGGGGGGTGTACTCATAGTCGTGCATGCCGCATTCGTTAGAACTTTTGACCTCGCATCCCTACAAAGCCGGGATGGAGCACGTCGGGTTCTCACCGGACCAGGCTCTGACATCACCAAGCCCGAAGCACCGTGAGGTATTCGACGAGTCACATGAACGGTGCGCTGTATCCTGCTAGGGGTGTTCGGCATCTCGTGCTTACTTCCTTGTGTATGGATGACAGCTGCGTATGACTGAATTTATTTTCTGGCGCTTTCACTTCCAGAGACAGTTATGAGCACTGTGTAACTGCCTCGAGGGTGCTTGACCAATTTAACACAACGTGGTGCGATCATCCCCTTTTCGCGGAGCGAGAGTTCTCGACCCCGCACAACATAGTCTACTCGACCACCATTCATGGTTACCGCAAAAAAAAAGGCAAAAAAAACAGCGGTAACCTGATTGCCGAGCTCACGAAGTGACCGGCTTGTTTTACAACGTCGTTGCCAAGCGACGAAAACCCAACCCCGTCGGCAAACACCGGAGGGGAGCCGGGGAGCCACGGGAGCCAAGAAGGAAGAGAGGAGGGGGGGGGGTATCGATGGTGTTGCTTTCGTTGTTGTAGTAGTAGTAGTAGTAGTAGTTGTTGTTGTTGTTGTTTTTGTTGTTGTTGTCGTTGGTGCTGCTGCTGCAATTGTGCTGTGCTGGTGTTGTGCCGAAATTCTCCCGAGTTGTCAGTCATCGTTGCAAGTTTTGGTGTCCGCGTGTCGGTGTTTATAATGTTCGCCTCTGCTTTAGCTACGCTGATGTCCGCGGTTCTGAAGGTGTGGGTGGTGCTGTCTTCGACGTGCTTCGTTTTCCGCAAAATCCATCAAACGAACGGGTGTGGCTATCAAATACACTCGGTGACCTTTGTAACTCCCCGGCGTGATCCAGAACTTGGAAAACGGTTGTTTTGATTCTCGGCCAGTGTCCGATTATCTCCGCCACAAATCACCTTGGAGAAAAACAGTGCTGGTGCAGGAAGAGGAGGTGACGTAGTCGGGGCGCCTGTTGCTACTTCGCTGGTCACTTATTAATAGTGCCTTACGGAATACACGCCGCGTGGATTAGCCGCCAATGGCACGAAGAAAGGGTTTCAATTCGCAAGGACGTTGCACTACACGCCCGTATTGCTAGTGCCACTGCTGCTGCTGGTTGTTTTGCTGTTACTGCCAAGAGTGTCGGTGACACGAGTTTGCGGCAATCATCGAAATTATAAAAGAGGTAAAGTCTACCCAGCGGAATCCGTTGCTTTGATACTACTACGATTTGGTACAAGTTTTTCCAACAGCACGAATAGAGGGAAACATCGGACTGCATCCGACTGCATCCTCGCTCTCAGATGCTATATGCACATAGGTAGATATTCCCGACAAAACCTGCAGCATCATGCGCAAAGTACCTTGTAAGTGCCCAAGTTGTTGCCCCAGAAGCGAGTGATCCTGCGAAACCGCTGCTCGCACCCTACGCTCTCCGCGCGTGTAGTACAAAGGTCGGCGAAGGTGTTGCCACTCCCCGTCTGCCAGCCATGGGTAGCCCGTCATGGTCCTACCTTGAACACGGCGTTTCGTACCCAACGCGGGGTCCGCGACGAAGTCCAGCTACCCCCCGCGCTCCGGATGCACCACCCGGTATGTGGCAGGCTCAGTACACAAGAGTTTTTCGTGTCCAACTCATTCAACATGATCACGAGGGATCAGCTGGGTAGAGCCTTTTGACCCGGCCACCAGCTCGGGAGCCTCTGCCTTAGACCCCTTGTCTCCTCGTACCTACTGTTCGTCAACGAGGAGCAGCAGCAAAAGGTGGGGGTACCAGTGAAGCAAGCAGAAAAGATGCAAGCTCACACACGACGCTGTGGGGAGGCGGGGTTGGGGTTTTACGAAAGGCTTGCTCTCAAAATGGGTGCCAAGTCGTAGACATCGTTGGGCCTGCTATACATACACTGATGAAGTCGAAGGCCCAACGAAAGCTTGTTGTCGTTGCAACGTGCGTAGTTAAGGAAGTGTGCTCGAGAGTGGATGAAGCCATGCCTTACCAACTCGGGTCACGAGAGTGCAGGTAGATTCATGCGCGTAGGAGGACATGAGTCTACAAAGTGTGCACTAGAGGCCAACTAGGGATGGACCTCATCTCAGTCGTAGGATCGCTCTCACCCTTCGCAAGGACTGAGAACCAACGTCGCAAAGATCGACTTTGTGCCAAGAGCAATTCATCTTGCTCTGCTGTTGCGCAGCAGGTGCAATGGTCCTGGGTAATATATACTTCTATCACATGTGACCACGGGAATATCGACCCCGTCAAGTGTTAGACTAGTACGGACAGAAGAAGGTACTGGGCACAGAGAACGGAGCGGTTTTTAATGTGAAGACAACAACAACAACAACATGTGTCTGGTGTCTGTCACGCATTCAAAAGTTCAAATCTCCACAGAAAACGTCGTGAACTTGTACAGACGAATCTCCAAAAAGTGCGCTACGTAGATGTAAGGTAACAGAACGTGTGAGATCACCTGAGACATGTAGAGGGATGTCCCAGCTTGTAGAGGAAGGTACGAGATGTGAGATGAAGAGGAGCGTGTGCTGTGTGGTGTGAGAGACAAGAGCGGACTCATGAAGGAGGCGGACAAAGAATATGACTCTTATTAGGGTATAATAAGATTCATATTCTTTGGAGGCGGAGGAACTACAGACCCCCCCCCCGGGGATTCATGTTTTTTTATGGGTACCCCCTCGAACGTACAGTGTCCTCTCTGCGAGATAGCAGACAGATAGATTCAAGAGGGATCAAGCAAGACCACATTACAGAGTAGTGCCTGAGCAGCAGCGAGAGCAAGACACAGACAGTGCGTGGCAGAGAGCCTTGCCTGCGATCGCACGCGCCGGAAAGCGGCATCGATCCACGAGGGCGGCTCGTGGCGCGTGAGGGAGGAACAGAGACTGCTGGCGTGGTGCGGGGGGGAACTTGACCATGCCCGAAAGGTTGTCTCAAGAGGAGGCCTACGAGCTGCTTGGTCTGGAGCCAGAGCCGGAAAAGACGCCCGAGGAGATCAAGAAGGCCTACAAGAGGAAGTCCCTGGCTACCCACCCTGACAAGAACCCGGTAGGCCTTGCATGCGCGTGTGGCAGTTAATTTCCGCTCTTCTTTTTGGTGGCCTCCTCATAAGGATACGCGCTCGTGGGTGTGGAGTGCCGCGAGCTTCTCGCTCGCAGCCATGTGTGTGTGTCGAGAGACATGTGTACCAAAATGCAAACTTTGATGTTGGACATAGGCATGGCTTCTCTGAATGATGATCGCAAGGGTCCCGCGTGAACTGTGAGCTCCTTTTTGTGCCATGAGCAAGTTTTGAGGCACGCCCGTGTGTTCCACGCCGGTGGTTGTGGGCCCATACGGTCTCGAAATCAAACGCGGCTTGTTTGGCTCTGTTGGATGCGTCCTCTCCTGCCCCCCCCCCCATGCCCCTACGCCCCTAGGCGAGCAGTCGCTGGTCCGGTCACTCGGCACCTCTCGTTGCAGTCAGCTACGTCTCAGTAGCCCCACCAGTGCCTGTGTATCCCGCGGCAACGACACGTGCTGGTTGTTTTACATTTGTGGTCACGCTCCTCAAAGCGGATCGCGAGGTACATGACAGAAACGTGATGTCCCTCTGCAATATTCGTCTCGCAATTTGTATACCTTAGCAGCATTGTTCAGGTTTAAAAGTTTCATGATTAGAAAAAGGGATCGTCTGGCCGAGTTCGTCCAGGACTGGCACACAGCAGCAGCCAGTACGCCGTATCTTCGTAGATTTGCATCCATCGCAATTGGTAGAATATGTAGCTAACGTAGATTCCGCTGAATGGCAGACAGGTCGGCATCTGCTGTATCTACTGCTCTATGCAAAGAACAGGTACAGTAGTTACCGCCGCATAGAGTCACCCAATTTTAGCCACTTATTTTACACGTGTTGTTCGATACCACAGACCGTGGTGAAATGTACTAAAAAGACTTGGTATCCGTGGAGTCATTGCAGAGTACTTTGGTACGATATTAAGTTCGATACAGCAGGTTAAGTGCGCGCCCGCTCACACGAAACCTAGGACTGCTGTTCATACAATCTCGAATGGGTGGTTGTGTGCATACTATATTTTCCAAAACGAGTACAATTGTAAGGGCGAAGCAGTGGCGTTAAGGAAATCAGCTCGGCCGCACTCAAGTCTTTTGGTCCTTACACTTGAAGTCGCCCGTGCTCAACTCGTCGACACCCGAAAATATTATTTTCTTCACCAGTATGTAGGTCCACCCCTTTTGTGTAAAGAAAAACACCGGCTGCACTCTTTGTTCTCCCGTTTGTGACGTGTTCCTATAACCCCGTTTTTTTTCCCTCTTTTTTTCGGGTGCATGTACAATACCCTTGTGAAGAACGTGAGAACTTCGCGGTTGAGAACTTGAGCGTTCAAGAATCCAAAAGCTAAGAACTTGGCCATAAGAACAGGTGCTCAGTCTAGAAGCCTACACAGTACTTATATATATATCTTCACGCTGGAATGTGGTAAATCGCACACACCTCCGTTTGATTGTGTGATGTTTTTCACGCCCATGACGGACACAAACAGAGAGGCGCCAGTAAGAGCTTCCGAGGGTCCGGATACCCGTAGCTGTCACAAGATGCCACCCCATGGAACGATTGTCAAAGCTCGGTTAATCCACCGCAGAAAGGGTGGAGGCGTCAAAAATGGAGGGAAGGCATTGGAACGAACCATCTCGTTGAGAGCTTTCCGAAAACGCATCGTTTGGACCATGTACATCATTCTCTTGGTCGTGTGGAGTGATGGAGCTTTGAAAATCGGTCCAGGGGGTGTGATGTCTCGTTATTCCACCCGCGGTAGATTACGTACAGTCAGTACACCCGACCGAGCTACGTTGCTCTCTGTGCCCCGCCCCCTGCTCGAAGTTACACAACACTCACCCCGGCTAGGTCGTAGATGCAGAGACTGCAGCAAGAAATACAGAAGTAGGCGACCGCACTTGCGAGCCACTACTTTTTGCCGAGGCTGGGGTATTGCAAAGGTTATACTACAGATGTCCGCTGTTCTAGGTAACAACCCCCGGGGGGGTGACGAACAGCCTCGAGCGCTGGTGTCAACGGATCTCAATTAGACCCCCTCCTGTGGAAACACTCCTCTTTCACGCCGCCTCAGCGCGAGCCAAAAGGTATAGCTTCGGTTGGGAGACGTGCTACTTGCATGAGAGCGATGACAGCAGTAAAAAAGAAGTGTGAACCGTTCTTCGAACCGTTCCGTTTGTAACAGTAGCCCGCCTTCGTTCCGTTCCTGTACCGTTCCTCCCTCCCGTGTGTATATCGTCTAACCTCCGCTCCTCCTCCCCGTCTTGCTACTCCCTGACGGGCGCCACGACAACGTTCACGTTGACGCTCAGGGCGACCCGGAGGCTACTGCCAAGTTTCAGCAAGTCGCCGAGGCCTACCTGAGCCTGACTGATCCCAGCTACTACTCGGAAGGTGCCGAGCGCTTGTGTTTGTGTGTGTCTTTATCTTAACATCGGCCGCGCTAGCGGGCTGACAAATGAACAGACGTCAGTGCCAGCGGGTAAAAAATTGAAGTACCCTGGAAGGGGGCCAATATTCGGAAAATGCGCAATGCGCTGAATGCTGTTGCGTGTGAGTTCGTGTGTTATGTTGACACGTACGCATGTACACACGGGGTGGCCATTGACGAACACCGCATCCTCATGTGATTACGTTGATGTTGTGCTAGCTTTCCACGGAAGACGGTAGTTGCACGGAAGAAGGCGGTTGTGTTCCACGGACAAGATGTTAGTAGTTCCACGGAAGAAGACGGTAGTATTCCACGGAAGAAGACGGGGCGTGTTCCACGGAACAAGGCGGTAGCAGTTGCACGGAAGAAGACGGTAGTGTTCCACGGAACGATACTCGAACTGGTACACTCGCGAGCAAAAAAAGGCCCGAAAACATCGTTCCGCTTGGGGGTAAATTTCCATCATCATCGCACTGCTGTCGCTGTCGTCGCCGCTCCTTCGGCAGAAAAATCGGACGAATCTGACGATGACGATGACAGCGAAGACTCGAGCGACGACGAGTACGGGGGGGGAGGGGGGCGCCGTCACCACCACCACCACGGAGGGAGGGGGGGGGGTCACGGCTACCGTCGGGGAGGCATGTCTCCGGTAAGGGAGATTCGTCTGTTGGGACGGTTGCGACTGCTGTGACGGATTCGCTTCTGGTGTACCAGTAGTAGATTCTGCGCTGGCTTCGAAAGGGGCGGCGTGTGTCCGGCCAAGGGTTAGGGTTGAGTGGTCGCTCTCGGCGCGTGGTAGGTTTGCGTGTGGTGTGCGGGAATGTTCTCAACGTTGCTGTTGCCGTGTTTGCTTTCAGTTTACTCCTGGCTAGATTTGCTCTTTTTTGTGTCTTAAAATTTAGCCTTCTAAACCTTGTCGGTTGAATCCTTTCGTCATTTCCATATCAACGGTTTCACACTAATAATGTACCGCAGCAGACGAGCCGATACTCCGCGCTTGTGTATGCTAGTCGCTCGCCAAACGAACCCAACACGTGGCCACACGTTTTTTGGTTGGCGAGAACAGCAGGCCCACCGTCCATCATCCCTGTTTACCGCTCGCTTCCGGGTCCAACAAGCCCTCTTCTTCCCAAATTTGACAGTTGTCGTTTCCCAGCCTCAAGTATATTCTTAGCGCAGATGGGAACAGCCCTGGTGCCCACCACTCTCCTCGAGGGCCCACATGACAGCACCAGTGTTTCCACCCACCCTCTGAAGTTCTAGGTACATCTCTGAGCCTCTTTATCCTCCTTCCCCGCTGCCGCTCCTCGCCCCGCCCGCTTCCTGGCAGGAGGACTTCATGGACCTATTTTCGGAGATCTTCTGTATGGGGGGTATGGGAGGATTCGGGGGTATGGGGGGGGGTCCGGGGATAAAGATCAATGGCGGGCCGGGGGGGGGGGTCTTCATGCAGATGCCGAGCTTCGCGCGGGGCGGCGGCGGAATGGGTGGCATGATGGGCGGCGGCGGGGGGGGGAGGCCCATGTACTACGATGATGATAGCGATGATGAAGACGACTACGCGTCATACGAGGACCCGGAATATGTGGGTGGTTAGTCTGTTGTTTGTGTTTTTCGTTTTTTGTGTAACGGGGAAAGACGACTACACTCAGCGCTATTAAAGCACTGAACAACTTGGCCGTCAGTCAAGAATTTGATGTAGCCTCGACAAATTCAAAGTCTAAGAACACACGCTGCCTTGTTGCCTTTGCCTCCTTCTCTTTAACGCGTTCCTTTTTCCTTGTGTAGGTGGTTTTGTCTCCTTAGGCATGCCGCTGCTGTAGCACATTTAACATGAATCCCTTTGACATGCTCCCCTTTTTGTCTTGCCCTCTCTATTGAAGCCGTCCCTTTGCCTCTTCATGTTCTCGCCAGGCATCGTGCCAATCGCCTTCTGTATCTAAAATGGATGCTACCGTAAATTTAGCACCGCATTTGTTCTTGCCCTGTCCGTTGAATCTGTCCCTTTGTGCGTCGTGTGAGTCTTTCCCTCTTGTTGTTGTTCTCGTCAAGCATCGTGCCAATCGCCTTCTGCATTTTAACGTGGATGCTACCCTAGCACCCCCTTTGGTCCTGTCGATTGAATCTGTCCCTCTGTGTGTTGTGTCGGCCTTTGCCTCTTCATGTTCTCGCCAGGCATCGTGCCATTCGCCTTCTTCATCTTAACATGGATGCTACCGTAGCACCCCATTTGTTCTTGCCCTGTCCGTTGAATCCGTCCCTTTGTGTGTTGTGTGGGTCTTTCCTTCTTCTTGCTGTTGTTGTTCGTGTTCTCGTCAGGCATCCGCTAGCACCTCCACCTTTCGCGAGAGGCTGGTGTACGAGCAGCAGATGAAGTACGAGGCCCGGCAAGCGAGGATGGAGGCTAGGAAGGCGGCAAAGGCAGCCAAGGCCATGAAGAGGAGGTGACTCGAGAGTGCCAATTGACAAACGCAGAGGAAACATGTGGTCGTCTTTACATTATTACCGTTCTGGTCTCCGCTCAGTACCTTGTAATATCCGTGCCGGTTCAACTGACGCAGGCCAACTACCCCCAAAAGGGGTTGCACCTTTCTTTGTAATAAGTACAAGTCGAAGAGCGGAAACAGAAGTGGACCCAGAAATATGGGAAAAAAATAAACACCTGTGGGAAACATTACAAGAGCTTACATGTGTGTAACATTAGAAAAGCTTGTATTTGTGTGATTCTATATGTACCGTTTTTGTTTTGTGTTTTTCTTCAGAACGTGTTTTTGTTTTTTTCTGAAATATGTTTTTTTTCGTTGTGTGCGGTGGGGTGTGTGTGTCCAGGGAAGAGGACGAGGCATTCTGGCAGGCGCAGCAGGAGAGGGCGCAGCGACGGCGCGAGCAGCAGGCTGCGAAGGACAAGAAGAGAGCGGCTGAGAGGGAGATCGCTAGAGCCAAGCGCGAAAAGGAAAAACAGCAGCAGCAGGTGAGCTAAGCACGGACCAGCATCGCATCTCTAGGAAGTATACATGCAAATCACTGACCGAATGCCCATTCGAGATAATACCACAGCGCGAAGGAGGTGTATTGGTGGGAGTCTTAGCTGTGAGTGCTGAAGGAAGCTTGCGGGTTGTTGTTGTCTTCACATCAGTATTCGTTCGGCTCTCTTCCCTCTTGACACCCGTACCGGTCCAACTGACTCGGGCTGGGCGCTATACACTGAAAGTTGCATCATACGGCGAGGGTGGACGTACAGCGGTATTTGTGCGATCGTTTTCTTTAGGTCGATTGCTCCACAACCCAAGAGGCCGCGAAACCCGGCCGTCCCGTTCAAGGAAAAGGTATAGTAGCTCTCGACGAGATTCGTATTGCCAACGACCACCGTTTTGTCGGCATGGACACCCTTTTGGTTGAGGAGAGGTCGACCTGTTACATAGAAAATCAATCGATCGCACACTTTACACGCTTCTACGGCATCCCCCTCTCTCGAAGGAATATTGGGCGATTTTCGTTATGAGCGGGATTTGCCGTGACAGGCGTTCGAAACGGGTGTAATGATGTACTGTATGAGGAGAGACTCGACTCGTCTCTGACCAAATGAAATATCTGCAAGTATAATACGCGTTTAAGATCTTGACGGAACCGCGAGGTTTTTACCGCCGAAAGCACAACAGCTTTTCTGGCGGGGTTTAGTGGTTTTGGCGACGGGGGGACGCGACGGCTTGTGTGTCGCTCCGCAAGTCTTTTCTCACGTTAGGTTGTACGAGAGTGGTTGAGGAGACGTCCTGCAGCTCCCGGTTCAATTGGTTGGGATGGTGTTGTGGCCCCTCTCATCTGATTTTCTTGTGGGTGTGCCGTCAATTCCTTCCCACCTTCGGAAGTATCGGGCCAGCCAAATGGATGATGTGAATGGTTGCGATGAGGACATCGCCCCCCGCCCCTGCGTGTATGATTTTGCCCGTGTTCGTTGCTCTAGACTGCTTGATCTGATCGGTTGTCGTGCGTGCCGATCCATCGTTTGTCCTCTCTCGATTCATCCTGATTGGTCGATCAATCGCAGCTGCTTAGATGAGATCTGATTGTCTCGCGTTTGCCGGTCGTTCGTTTGTTCGTTCCCTCTCTTGATTCATTCTGATTGGTGGATTGTCGCAGCTGCAAGATGAAATCTAATTGGCTTGCTTGTTTTCCGATTGTCCATTCGTTCTTGCTTTCCCTCTATCGATTCGTTTTGATTGGTCAATCGCACCTGCAAGATGGGATCTGATTGACTCTTTTGTGTGCTGTTCTCTCGTTCGTTCGTTTCCTATCTCGATCCATCTTGATTGGTCAATCAACCGCAGCTGCAAGATGAGAAACGTGCGAGGGAGGAGGAAGCCGCGAAGAAGGAAGAGAAGAGGAAGAAAAAGGTACGAGAGACAGGCACAAGACACATAGATTGCCGTAGGTGGCATGACATTACGTGAGATATCGCACCCCCTGGATCGATTTTCAAAGCTCGTTTCTCCACAGCAGAAAGAGTACTGATGCCGAAAACGGCGGCCTTGGAGCGATCTCGTCACGAGCTTCCGGGAAACGCATCGTTTTTGTGTAATATGCGCGTCCTCTTCGTCGTGGAGTATTTGAGCTTTGAACATCGGTCCAGCGGGAGCTTTGAACATCGGTACATCGGGTGTGGTATATTGTGTCATGTCACGTACGGTACATCGGGACGGGGTACCTATTAATAGTTTGTCACCAACCACGACCGCCAGGGTGCTACAGCAGTGCATGCATAAGATTTTAGGATGTGGAAAACATTTGACGAAGCAGCTGTCGAGTCCACCGCCGAGTGAAATCGTCTGTGGTGGAAACGCCGTGAAGGAGTTGGTAGCGATGCCAATGCTCTACCGTGACCCCACGGTTGAGAGAGCCGGATCTAGCCTGGTATGTGATATGTATGTGTGGTCTCCTGAGCGGACTGGTTCTGCCGCATGCGTACATGTACAAGACAAGAAGGACGCCTCCGTACACACAGACACACACTTTTTGTGTAGCCTACGTGTTTGTTCCTGCTGAAATTTTGACTTGAGCGTTAGCAGTCGTTAAAGATGGAATGCACACAGGTCCACACATTCAAAAATGAACCATGCCGTACCCTTTTTTTAGCCCCGTAACCTTGAGGGAAGAGAGTGCTACACTCTTGTCGCATAGGCGAGCACCGCTGGAGGGTTGGGTAGGCGGCCTTAGGGAGAGGAACCTTTCTGTGTGACCCCGGATTGGATGGAGCTCCTGAGCGCTGATTTATAACCTAAATAGTGATGAAGAAAAGAAAAAGAAAATATCGCGACTCTCACAACGATGCATGCCTTGTCTTGTTCCTTCTTTTTTTTTCGACAGGACGATGAACAATAGACAAGGCAAACTAAGAAAAAAGAAAATGTCGCGACTCTCACAAAGATCCATGCCTTGTTTGTTCCTTCTTTTTTTTTCGCGACAGACCGATGAAAAACAAAGAGAAAATCGTCACCCTCACGACGATCCATGTGGTGATGTTTCCGTTTATTTGTTTTCTTGTTCTTCTGTTTTTCCCTTGCTTTTTTTTCGCGACAGACCGATGAAACAAAAAGAGAAAATGGTCACCCTCACGACGATCCATGTGGTGATGTTTCCTTTTATGTGTTTTCTTGTTTCTTCTGTTTTTCCCTTACTTTTTTTTGTCGACAGGCCGAGATGGACAGCAAGAGGGAGAAGGCGGAGGCAGTGCGCGCCCGAGCCTTCGAACTTTGCCGGGAGGGCAACCTGCCGGACCTCCGACCGATGCTGGAGAAACAGGATGGTGCCGCGTCCGCCCCTTCCGTGAAGCTGTCCGATCGACAGGACGGAAAGGGAAAGAGCGGCGCTACACTCCTGCACATGTAAGCATAGGAGGGGAGACTCTTGACAGCAGTATATCGTTTTTTCAAGGAGTTGATTTTTTTCATCGTCAGATTGGCTGGTTTCTTTTTCACCTCTCTTGCGTAGATCATTGTTGCTCCGTGTCGTCATTTTTTTTTTTATTGTGATTTTGAGGTTGGAACATGGAACACACCAGCAACAGACTTGGGCACAGGCGGCGTGAAGGGTGGAACACAACAGAGTGGCAGGAGAAAATAAATGGCGTAGGGGGGGCGAGTGTCTCCACCAAATTCGTACAGTGGTGTGCCACAGCAGGAACTCTACTGCCATCCAGCACTGCTGTGTCCAGGACGCCATACGTACCGCACGTGTACAAAATGTGCTTTGACCGGCCAAGCGCTGCAAGGATCAACTGCTATAAACGCCAACCCTAACCCAAAGGCGAAACTCCACCAGGGTACGGTCGGATACACAACACCCCCCCCCAAAATATATCAACATTTTTCTGACCCCCCCCTCCGTTGTTGAGCCACCTTTGGCAAAGTAGGAAGGATAAGAGTACCCCCCCCCCCCCTCCGTTGTTGTTGCAGGTGCGTGTCCCCCGGTGTGGGCGAGGGCCAGACGTCGGACGCTGTGGGGAAGGGCAGGCTGGAGGTGGCCACGTACCTGTTGCAGGGGACAGTGAAGAAGGACGCCGGGGGGGAGAGGGACCGTGTCGACCTCTCCAAGGTTAGTTAGCAAGTCAGGATTGCAGCTCAGAGCTTTGCTTACCACATTTGGCGAATATCACTGGTGACTGGTGTGAGGGTACGGGGCCTCGGGCAGAGGAACCCTTCTGTGTGGCGGTGGATTGTAGCTCCGGCAGAAATTCTGTGAGTGCTGATTGTTTAGAAGTGATGAGTACTGCTGCGTGTGCGCCATAGTCTTGACTGGGCAAGCACCCCAACGTAGCACCTGTGACAGCCAGTGCACCAGCCTACAAAATGATGCTGGCGTAGCTGCCGGGAACAACTGCCGATGGGGAGGGTGGAGTAGGAGTAGACATAAACAGGATGGACACGTCAATTTTAGTCATTCAGCCTGTTCTTACGCCAAAGTCGCAAGCAAGGCAAGCAGGAGTAGTTGCTGTTGTCGAGTACACCCGTTTTGGCTGTCAAGCATGTACATCTACTCCTGTATTGCCAAAAAGATCAACCATAATGACGTTTGCGGCATTTTGTCAAAACACAGATCCGTTGTGTTTGTTTGGCACTCGCTTGGGGTTGTGGTTGTTGCTGCTGCTGCTGTCGATGTCATAGAATGTGGGGAATGTTGTTGGGTCAGTTGCTGTTGCTGTTGCTGCTGCTGCTGCTGCCACGGGTGATTCCTGTTGATGATGATGATGATGATGATGAACACTTGCATGCTGCTTGCGTTTTTGTTTTACATCTTGGCGTCGGAATGGTGTCGGGAGTTCTTGGTAGTTCCCGCACGAAATATGGAGATGGGGTTGAGACGGGCTTGCTTTATTTTCTCGCCGATGTCAGTAGGGCATGCAAACCAATCCTAGAATATTTCGCACGTGGCATGGCTTGTTTCAGGTTGATGCGCAAGGTCTGACTGTGCTGCACAAGGCGGCTGGAGAAGGAGATGATGCACTGCTTGACCTGCTGCTGCGAGAAAGGTGCGTCGTTACGGGCGTCGCTGCTGCTGGTTGTGTTGCTGTTGCTGTTCGTGCCGCTTCTGCTGCTTGTTATTGTTGCTGCTGTGGTTCATGCTGCTGCTCCTTGTTGTTGTTGTTGTTGTTCATGCTGCCCCTGCGTCTTGTTGCTGCTGCTGCAGTTCATGCTGCTGCTACGCTGCTTCTTACTGCCGGGTTTGTTGTGCCCACGGCCTGGTACTGATGCCACCGCAGCTGACCCCGTTCTCTATCTCTCTCTTCCTCTCTCTCTCTCTCTCTCTCTCTCTCTCTCTCTCTCTCTCTCTCTCTCTCTCTCTCCCTCCCTCCCTCTCCCTCTCCCTCCCTCTCGCCCTCCCTCTTTCTCTCGCAGGACTCGGTCGACCACGCTGAAGCTAGAAACCGACCTGGACGCTACGTGCCTGGAGAAGGGATGGACCCCTCTCATGCACGCCTCCTTCAGGGGAAACATCCACGCCATGAGCGCCTTGCTCGCCGCCGGCTCGAGGGTGACTCAGCTTTCGAATCCCACCGGTAAGAGAGAGCGAGAGAGTCCTCGATACAAGGCTGGACCGGTTCTTTCATTGGCCCTTACTGCTACGTGGCACGAGGATCCTAGCTGCTGTAGTGCGAGGTTCGAGAGAGAAAGTGTCATTTTTTCAAATAATGTAAATTAGTACTGATGAATATTTTAGGCGCAAAGAGATTATCGCCACCCTCCCTCCTTTTCTTTCGGGCGTGGTCCGTTCCGCCTCTCCCATCTTGCTTCTGTCCCCCCGGCGTGCTTCCTCGCCCCCCCTGTCAAAAGTTAAAGTTCGCCGTAAGGAAGCGGCCCAACAGAACGGCCAGGTTGCCTCGAAAGGAGTACATGGTCGATCAAGTTCCTTGTGCCAGAGAAGGAGAGCAGCCCCCCCCCCCCCCGCCCAGTTCTACTTGTTGTGGCCCCCCTCCCTCGCCCTGTCACCGGCGTGGTAGTTCACAGCAGACCCTCCCTCAATAATATTCCAGACCGATCCCCCCCCCCCGCCCCAATGTATTTTTTTGTTGCGTCCCTCCCCCTGTTCTACTTTTTTTCTTGTGCCACCCTTCCGCCAGTGACCGGCATGGTAGTCCCCCAGCAGACCGCCCTCGAGATCTGCCAGGCTGCCCTATCGTCCACCAAACGCCTTAAGGAGAAGAAGAATCTTACCGCTGCCGTGGAGGTTCTCGCAGCAGCTGTCGACAAGGTATGTTAAAGTAGGTTCAGGCTAATGTACGTTGAGTTGTACGTTGGCGTAATACGTCGTGTTTAGTGTGGTGTGTGCGGTAGTGTGGTGTGTTTTGCGTTGAAAAATGTCTATCGATGAAGTTGTATGCATTTGAGTGTTGTGTGTGATTTGTTTGTTGTTGCTTCTCGTCAGTTGACGTTTATTTCTCCTAATTTGTCTCCCCATCTTGACACCAACGGATCTCTCCGGTGGCGACCGTTGCTGTGTGCTGTATCTCCGATATCTCCGATAAATGCTGCCTTGACCGTTGCGCGGCGTTGTGTTTTGCAGCCCTCGGTATGCTCTGCCCTAGCTGCCCCTCCGGTCGATTGTCTGGCGTGCCGTTTATATTGCCTGGCGTGTGCTGCTGATGTAGTGTTTTTTGTGCTGTTGGCGATGCGATGCATGCATATTCTTTCACGTCTCGCCCTGCGGCAGGTGGAGAAGGCGAAAAGAGCCAAAGAGGAGGAGAAGCGCAAGAAGCAGCAAGAAGAGGTACGTGCGTACGTTATTTCTCGTGAACTGAACGATGCGCCTTCTCGTGTACTGCACGTCCCTGTGCTTGGTTTTGCGCGTTGTGAACCGTTGCGCATCTATTTTTTTTTTGAAAATGATCGTTAAACAGAGAGAAAGACTATCCATTCGATATATAACCACAATCGAAAGGGATATGCTCAAGTCTTCTCAGTGAGTACAAACCGGCTGGAAACTGGGCTTATTTTGGGTCTGTTTTAATGAACGACACCCTTTTAGCTTCTTTTTTTTTGCGCGTTATCACCGTTTATGCACCTGTTTCTCCTGTTGGTCTTCTGCTTCCACAGGAGCGGAAGGCCCAGCAGTCTACGGGAAAGCAATCGCTCGAGCAGCAGCTGCTGGAGAAGAAGAGGCGGCAGCTCTTGGAGAGGCAGAGGAAGGCAGAGGAGGAGGAGGTGTGTCGGTCGCCGTCCGCTATGTTGCTGATCACATGTTCCTGCGTCGTTTGCCGTGCTGTTTGCTTGGTGCTGCCTTGTCTTTATGCCATTCGATTCGGCAGAGAAGATAGTGGGACGGACGGACAACATGTGGACATAACTATGTACGGCAGTAGCTCCAAGCATGAGAAAGAACAGATTCCGCCAATGTCTGTTCCTTTAAATTGTGTTTTCTGGATATTTTTTTTTTTCGTGGTTCCTCTTGGTTTTTGCCTCTTTTATGTGACGCCCGCGCTCTTTTTTTTTATTCTCTCTTTTTTCCCGTGTAAGTTAAATGTTTCTCGCCTTTATGTATTCATATTGATAAAACATCATCGACTTGGTTTTTCTGGCGTTATGTCTGTCTGTCTGTCTGTCTGTCAGGCGGAGGCCGCCCGCAAGAAGAAGGAGGCAGAGTGGGAGAAGAAGGAGCTGGCCAGGCTGAAGCGCGAGAAGAAGAAGGAGAAAAGGGAGAAGGACAAGAGGGAGGCCAAGGAACGCGCTCACCTGAAGGAGCAGGAGGAGTACCGGGCAGAGTACTACCGCTACGGGAACAGGTCAGTCTTTCGGTGGGGGACACCGGGGATTGGGAGGGGGGGTATAAAGTTAATCTGGAGGAGTACAGGGCCGCGTGCTAGCGCTACGGGAACATATCGGTCTTGGATGAACACCGGGTATACCCGGGTGTTGAGTAGGGATCACTCGCCCAAGTGCCCAAGGGGCTACTGCGGATGAATCCTCTGTTTCGGCGAAATACTAGAGGAATCAAAATAAGATTGACCGGTGTTAGCAGTCTGAGAGGCCACGGCAGACTAGTGGGTCTCTACCGGCTCTACAGTACCCGTGTATCATGCGAGTCAGGCAGGGGGGTGAACGTCGAATAGTCAGGGAGGAAAGGGAGGGGATGAATGGCGTGCATCCCCGGGGTGGAAGAACATTTTAACAGCAGCAGCGACAACCTCAGTATGTACTGTTTTTTTTTTCTTTTGCCCGGCAAGTTGCCTACAGCAGTACCCCCCTGTTCGCCTTCCCTTTCGCCAAGTTTTCAACGCCCTCCCCTCTCCCTCTCCCTCCCCCTTCGCCTGCGTGCCCCCTCGCTGCTTGTCTTGTCTTTCATCCCTCCCGTGTTTTCATCTGGTTTGTTTTGCGAGCGCAGCTCCGGGTACAGCGGGAACGGAAGCCCGCCCCCCGTCATCGATGACTCGGACCAGTGGGAGCAGTGGCAGACGGTCGCTAGCGCCAAGAACCTTGCGCTTGATAAGGAGGAGAGCGACAGGTAGGCAAGCATCTCGATGCCATCGTCGATGTTGTTGTTGTGATTGCGCTTGGTAAAAGGAGGAGAGTAACTGGTATGAATCTCGATGTCGTCATAATCGTTGTTGGTGTTGTTGCGCTTGGTAAGGAGATGAGCATCTCGATGTCGTGATCGGTGATGTTGTTGTTGTTGGTGTTGTTTGCTTGACAAGGAGGAGAGCGACAGGTAGGCAAGCACCTCGATGTCGTGGTCGTTGATGTTGTTGTTGCCCTTGATGAGGTGCAGAGCAACCGGTAAGCATGTCGATGACGCCGTCGCTGATGTTGTCGCTGATGTTGTTGCGTCTGATACGGAGGAGAGCAACAGGAACTCATGTCGATTTCGTTGTCGTGGTTGTTGGTGTTGTGGCGCTTCATAAGGAGGAGAGCAGCGCGTAGGCGTCTCGATGCCATCGCCATCATTGTTTTGTGTTCATGGTGATGATGCTTAGGTGATTGTGAAGGTATCTTTTGGTTAAAGTTCGTGATAGGTTGGCATCGGTGTACAAACGCTTACATCTTGCGAGGGATGCCTGCCTCGCTATATACATAGCGAGGGCTTAGCCTAATCGTCCCTCCCCCCGCGTTGTCCTCCTGCCCCTCTCGCCGCAACCAACCGAGAAGGCAAGCAAAAGCTCAGGCGAAGCTGCTACAAGCCACAAAGGCCGAAAACACGCTCAGCTCTTTGGAGCGCTACCAGCAGGCCCTACAGGTTAGTCGGCGCTCTAAATAGTCCCCGGTGTTGTTGCTCGTCGAAAGCGTCGGTCGAAAAACACGTTCGTTCGTTAGTTGTTTGTCGGTGCCCAAGCGTATTCCGTTGCTAGGCAAGAGAAGCTGACTGCTCGAAGCCCGCACGTTACAAGCAAGGCCCTTGTGTTTTTGTTTGGACGAGCTATGAAGGCGTTTTGGACGGCGCACCGGCGGGCGTTCGAATTGTCCGGGACAGCATACCCCCTGCCCCCCCCTGATTCCTCGCTGATACATCCCACCTCCTCCTCCCCACACCTCCTCCTACAAACCTGGGACCACAAATCGCCATCTATGTTCTTGTCCTTCCTGTTATTTTTAGCTGCAACCACTCCCCAAATCCCCGTTGTTGTGTGGTCTCCCCTGGCCAAAAATGAAGAACGACAATTCGAAAACGATAAATGTTAGCAACAAGCGTGTCTGCGTTCTTCTTCTCCACAGAACAACGGGTACTCGCTTTCGAGCGACGACGAAGACGGTGGGCCGGCCAGCACCGCCCGCGGCACCGCAGCCGGCGCCGGTGACCGCGCCGTCTCCGGTGCCGGCGGTCGCGGCCGCCCCGCACGAGGAGATGAGCGGGGCTCTCAGCAGCAGCAGCGCCGCAACCAAAACGCACAGCAGCAGCGGGGTGGTGTTGCCGCCTCGAGAAGCCCGTCATCGTCGTCATCACAGTACCAAACGCCTCCGCCGTCCATCCACACGACCGCCGTGCCGGGAGCGGCGGCGGCGGCGGCGGCGCCCGCCCACGGATCGACCGCCGCTGGCGGGCGGGGCCAGGGGGGCGCCTACGGTGGCCGCAGCAGCCGCAATGGTGGGCAGAGCGATGCCGCTAGCAACGGACGCGGCGGCGGCGGCGGCGGGCAGAACGGCACGAGGCCGCCGCCGTCGCCAGTCAGCGGGCAGGTGAGGTCGGTGGCGGCGGGCGGCTGGGGGGAGGCCGCCGCCGTTACCGACGGCGTGAACGGGTGGGGGCTGCAGGGGCACCCGGACGGGGAGGGGGTCCAGGTCAAGGCTATCCCGATGCGCGCCCGGGAAGACGCGGACGGTGGCTGGGGGCAGCAGAAGCAGCAGAAGCAGAAGAAGCAACCCGTGGAAGCCAACGGCTGGGGAGACCCTCCCGCTCCCACTGCCGGGCGCGACGGCTCGGGGTGGACAGCAGCGGCGACGTCGGGGGCCGCTAGCAACGGGAGCGCCGGCCGAGCGCGCGGCGGAAGGCCTGCAGCGGCGGCGGCGGCGGCGGCGGCGACGACGACGGTGTCTTCGTCGTCGCCGAGGAGCTCGGTGGACTGGGAGGAGAGGGCGGAGCGGTCCCGCCAGAACGAGCTGGCGGCGGCTAGAGGAGGCGGCGGTGGCAGGGCGTCCGCGGCGCCGGCGCCGGCCCAGACCCAGGCTCCGCGCGCGTTGCAGACACAGCAAGCCGCGCCGAAAGCGGCGGCGGCGGCGCCGTCTCAGCAGCAGCCCCCTCCCCCCCCTCCGCAGGTACCCCCTCCTCCCCCGGTGTCTCAGCAGCAACAGCAGTACCAGCAGTACCAGACGCTGCCCAACCAGCAGCTCGACAACAGCAACCACCGGGCTGCGCCTCCGCCGCGCCAACGCCAACAGCAGCAGCAGCAGCAGCCGCCCCCGCCGCCGCCCCCGCCCCCGCCGCGGGGCCCCCCTCCCCCTCAGACAAGCACGCCCGCCGCTGGCAACAATGGCAACGTCGGTGTGTCGGGGAAACCGGGGATGGTGACGGCGGCGCCAGGACTGTCAGCAGCGGCGCCGGGACTATCAGCAGCGGCACCGGGACTGTCAGCAGCGGCGAACGCCTACCGGCCGGTGGACTTGTCCAAGCAGACGGCGGCGGGGGCGAGGTTGCCGCCGGGGATGGGCGGGCCGGCGGCGACGGTGAGTGGTGGCGGCGGTGTGGGCATGACGGCGGCGGCGGCGGAATGGGTGCCGGGACTGTCGACGGCGGCGGCGGGTATGACGAGCGGTCGAGGTGTCGGAGGGATGGCCGCTACCATGGTGAGGTTTGGCGTATTTGGTGTGTGGCTTGGCTCGTGGTCAATGTGTTGGGCGTTGTGGTGCTGGTTCTGGCTGCCACTCGTATTGGTTGTTGTTGCTGCTGCTGCTGTTGCTGTTCCGATATCGCGGCCGTCGTATATGCGACTGCTGCTGTATTTACTTGCCATGTCATGTTGCAGTGCCGTTCCACTCTCTGGTACAGTACGCCTCTTTCGGTCATACAACCCCAAGCTGTGAGTTCAGACAGCAGGCGGCGCCCCTTCTTCAAGTCACATGACAAACACGTGTTCTCGTAACGTTTGCTGCGTCGTCCACGGATGAATGCCGCGTTGTTTCTTCGACACCCTTATCGGATAACCTGTGACTTCAGACGGCAGGCGCCGGCCGTTCGTCAAGTCTCCTAACAAACACTTGTTCTCGCAACGTTTGCTGCGTCGTCCATGGATGAACGCCGCTTTGTTTCTTGGACTCGGTACCAAGGGTGGGGTGGACGTGAGCCTGCTGGAAGCCCACATGTCCACAGGCATGGCAGACGACGGCGGAGTTACTGCCGCTGCTGCCGCCGCCGCCGCGGCCGCCGCAATGTCGGGAACTACGGTACAGCAACAGTGGGCGGCAGCGCAGTTGGGATACGCGCCCCTGACTCCGGTGAGAAGTCGTTTGCTATTGGTTTGTTGCATAACTTGGTCTCGGTCTTCGTTTGTTTTCGATCTTTTTTTTTATTGTTGCTCCATACAGTACGATACGAACATTTTGTCTGTTTTTATCTTTTGTTTCTCGTGATGTTTTGTTTTCGGGGAGTTTGCTACCTTACTTTCTTACTCAAAAAGTTTGGGTCAACTCAACAGTTTGGGTTGGGCTCTCTGTGCTTGTCCAGAATTCCACAACATTGAGCGCGATAGAAAAGGATTGCAAGAGGTCTGGTGGAAGTAGACTTGATTTTTTACTGGATATATATATAAGCTTCAGAAGCACCATGCATTTATGTCGATTCGGGTTCCATGAGTTCTGCCAAAAATATCCCCCGAGTACATGTATATGTTTAGTTATCCCGCGAAACAGGTTATGGGATCACGGAATCACGGAATTCCCGCGAAGACATGAAGCTGGAGAAATTGAAACCTTAGCCCTGATTCCTTCTTTTTCGTCTCACCTCCTCTCACTTGTCCTCCTCTCTCTCCCTCCCTCTCTCTCTACCCCTCTCTCTCCCTCCGATTTTCAACCCTTCTCCCATCTTCACTCCTTCTCTTCCTCCCTCCCTCCCGCCCATTTCCAATCCTTTCCCCCCCCCCGCTACCCACATCCTATTTAGCTTACTGGCCAAACACCTTCTAGTGTTGATGTCCAGGCGATTATGAACGCCGGCGTGATCCGAGGAATGTTGATGCCACCTCCCGCTGCCGCTGGGCGGGTGAGATGCGCGCGCGAGAGAGTTTGGATCGATGTCGAGCACTCGAAGCTTGTGTAAAAAACGTGTACGAGGTAGATATTAAGTGGTACTGAGCGGAGACCTGAACGGTTTTGTTGTGGCGACAACACGTACGATATTGCGTAATAGCGTCCAGATAACATGTGACGCTTCACGAAACTTTGCACACGAGGTGAAAAATCGCGCGCGCGCGCGCGTGTGTGAGGGGGATCCACCCCTACCGGGCTTTTGTGCTGTCGATGTTCCTAGCACGAGGAGGCTGGCTACGATAGATGCCTACCATACCGCCGTGCATCTGCAGAGAGATGAGATGAAGCTGGCTGTAGGCTGTTCGGCACCCAAGGGTCATCCCGCCAACTTGGCGATGCACCACACCTTCTCCTCCGACCCCAACACGCACCTTCTCTTGCGACCCGAAAAACGTCTTTTTTTTTGTTTTGGAATCGGAGGAGAAGGTGTGGTACATCGCCAAGTTGGCAGGATATCTCTTGGGTCTCGAACAGCCTATGCTATCGTAACCAACCTATTATAGTTCGTGCGAGGAACATCGAGGGCACAAAGCCCGGTTGGGCTGGATTCCCCTCACACACACACCCGCTATCGTAACCAACCTACTTCGTGCGAGGAACATCGAGGGCACAAAGCCCGGCAGGGGTGGATTACCCTTACACACACAGTCACACACACGCGCCCGAGTTTTTTCACATCGAGCACATTGGAGACATATATACGCTTGAAATCCTTGGCGCTTGCGGTAGGTGGACTCGAGCAACCCTCGCCAACACGCTCCCGCCAGCGTTGACGTATCTCATCATCGCCCCCCGACATGGCCTCGTCGATGCCTACGCTCGCAAACTCGTACCCCTTTTCGTCGTCCCGCGCTACTCCAGCCAGCGCTTATTTTTTTTATTATTGTACCCTTTCTTGGCCGCAAGTGTGCTACGGAGCACCACTTAACCGTACCCTTTTTTGACCGTCCGTGCTACTTCAACCAGCACCTAAGTGTACCCTTTTTTGTGACCGTCCGTGCTACTTGAACTAGCACCTAAGTGTACCCTTTTTTGGCCGCAAGTGTGCTACGCAGCACCACTTAACCGTACCCTTTTTTGACCGTCCGTGCTACTTCAACCAGCACCTGAGTGTACCCTTTTTTGTGACCGTCCGTGCTACTTGAAGTAGCACTTAATTGTACCCTTTTTTATGACCGTCCGTGCTACTTGAACCAACACCTAAGTGTACCCCTTTTTTGTGACCGTCCCCGCTATTCTCACGCCGCAGCAGGTAATGATGTGCAACTTCTGCGGCAACATGAACCCGAACCTCTTTTCGGACGCCGGGCAGGGGTACGCACGCTGCCACGGGGTCTACGCGAATGGGGCTCTGTAAGTATTTCGCCTGGTAGCTTTCTTCTCTCCCTTTTTTATTCCTTGGTCCTGTTTCTTGTTTTTCCCATGCCTTCTCCATCATACAAGCTGCCCTAAGCGGATGGCGCTTTGTGAGTGTTTCGTCTGTTCCTTTGCTGTGTATTTTTTTTTTTCCTTTTGTTTTGTTCCGTTTTCTCATTTTTTTTTTTGTCCAAGCCTTCTCTCTCACGCGCGCTGCCACGTGTAGGGTCTATATGCTACACGAACGGAGCGTTGCAAGCATTTTGCAGCTAGCATTTTTTCTTCCTGTTTGTTATTCGTTCTTTCCCTCCCAGTTTTTCTTGCTTTTTGTCCCAAGTCTTCAATCCCCCGACGCACTCTGCCTTGTTGACTTTTTTGTTTTCGCTTGGTGCTCGGTTAGCTTTACGTCGGCCTGCTTTGCAGGGGTCTACACGCAAACTGTTGGCTGCGATCCGGTAAATGAACAGACGGAGCGACCCGTGTCTCTGCGGCTGTTGTTTCCGTTTTTTTCCATGTTTTTCATTCCATGGCACGTTCCGCAGCTCCTCCTTCGGCCCAAGTGCACTCGCAAACGGCACTGCTTCAATGTTTGTTTTTTTTTGTCTTCGATTTTGTTTCTTTCTCTCGATTTTTTTTTTTCATTGTTTCGCGAGTAACAAAATCTGCATGGCTCGAGCAAGTATCGTATTCTACACGTTCGATTGTTGCGTCCGTGGTCACATCTACCATATGTACGTCATGCATTTACGTTGGCGCTGACACGGTTGGTGTGTGGATCGATCCACCCTTATTCCAGGTGCAAGGGCATCATGCCGTGGCCCGCTGGGTCTCTTCCGCAGTACAAGCACGACCTTGGCCAGCAGGATGCTACCGTCGCCGCTCTGAACCCGTCCCATCAGGTATGTATGTGGTACGGTATGGCGGTACGTACGGCGTTATTTTCTTGCCTTTGTTTCTTTCAATCGCTATCGCTTGTAATCAGCGCTCGCGGTAAGTAGCAAGGGAAAGTGTGGTTTTGGCGTTTGTTATAAACGGCGCATGTGTTACGTATGTAAATCCCAAAGGAGTATTTCGCAAGCATGTGTGTTATGCCGCCTCCTATGCGCACGTGCGAAGACGCCTCCTTTGCGCATTTGTGAAGAAACATGACCGTGTCTGTGTTCTGGCTGCTGCCCCGCCGCGAATTGAATACCTACCCTCAACCCCTCTAGCTCCGGGGTGCAGTTGCCAAGAGGTTCTCGCCACTCGCTCTTACCCGATGTGCCACATGCTGCCTGCCGCCGGCCACATCTGTTCTCTCCTTCCCCTGTTTGCCGATGTATGACATGCTTCCGCCCACCACGTTTTGTTGTGTCTCACGACTTTGCCCACGATCACATCCTGCGGCGCGCCACAGTTGTCTCTTCTTCTGTCTGCTCTCTCTCTCTCTCACACACGCTTTTTGCCGACGTTCGCATGCTGCTGCCCACCACATTTTGTCCTTGTCTCACGTTTTTGCGAACCGACTGACCGACCGACCGAGCAGGTGCTCCAGCAGCAGGCGGGTGCCGCCCCGGGCGGCTACGCGGACGTCGGCGGCAGTGCTTACACCACCCCGTCCCCGTACGCGTCGGTGCCGGCAGTAGCGGCTGTGGCGGTGCCTCGATCAGCGGCGGCAGCAGCAACGACCACCGCCGGCCTGGCGTACGGTGGCGCAGCCGCCGCCGCCGCCGCCCCGCACGT